GAGGCAGCTGTGATGTAAGACAGTAGGAAAGAGATCCATAACATGTAAGAGATTTTTGCCATAACCATATTTGAATACCTTGGCACACAGAAAATAATTCCATCTGGGGGAGAAAAGAAACAAGAATGCACTAATAAATGTGGGCAAAATACTAAGGACAGTTTACTTAGGAAGCAGGATGAGTGGTTTTTATTGTCATTTTTATGTTTATTATTTATTTTCTGATTTTTACACATTGAATTTTTTTTTTTAGTAAAATAATAAAAGCTTAAAATCAGTGACAACAAAAACAGCTATTCCTTTACGAGATCACAGCAGACCCTAAACCTTCCATTAGCATAAACGACTGTGTAGAACTAAACCCTAAAAAGCAAGTCTCATCATGAGTTAAAAGGTGGGAGGTCAGGACCACCATAAGAGAGTCAATTCACATCATCATTCCATTTCAAATGAACTCTTTCACTCAGCAAACATTTATTAATAAGTAGTTCATTTTCAATTCCAATAATGGGCAACTAATAGAACACATAATTAAAAAGGTAAATGGCCTGATTTTAAATGTCCTCATTGCTTTTTCTTTTTTTCCAGCTCTACTTTTACTACCCAAAATGGTTACTAATGATGTTAGGTCTTTGAGTGGCTAAAATATGGGTCATTTTACTAATTAAGAACATGGATAGTGGGAAGGGCCCATTTTAGCCCTTTTTCATCAAAATGGATAATTACTAAATGAAACTGATCTCAATAACTTCACTAAGAAAGTGATCCTGGACTCAGGAACAATCCATTTAAGATAATGACTTACCAGCCTTGGGGCTCTGAAGTCAAAGTGGGACAGCAAGATGGTTTTTATGAGAAGAAGACTTCCAGGGATAAAGGGAAGTTTTAAGGAAAGTGTAGCTCATTGTGAAAAAAATCATTATATAAAATCACACAGCAGAACCTGGGGTTCTCAATTTCACACCCATTGCTCTTGCTACTGACACTAGATCAACTCCTTTCTTAATAATCTTGGTGTAAAATGGAAGGAAGGAAGGTGAGGATTTCCTTCATGTTATAGGTTGGGTTAAAGATCCCACAGGGATTAGTCTAACAGTATTCAAGAACAACAGCTAGTATTTCTTGAGTACTTACTGTACGTAATGTTCTAAGAAATTCACATGTATTAACTCACTTAATCCTCCTAATAATCATCTGAGGTAAGTATTAGCATCTGCACTGTATACATACAAAAACCTGAGGCACAGAGATGATGCTAATAGTGTGTCTAGGATCACCTTCTATAGGCAGTAGATCCACAATTACAGCTTTTTCGATCCCATTTAAGAGTCTGGGCTCTTAACCCAATGCCATGTTGTCGCTAGTTTTTCTTCCTGTGCTCTCTTCTCATTATCGAAGCCGTACTTTGGACGGACTTTAAACAAGTTACAAATAACCGTCAGGGCTTATGTTAGTCATGCAAGCTAGCCCTGGTCCATGATCAAAAGTTAAGTCACCTTTTAAGCAAGGTGATTTTTTTCAAAATAAATTACATTTTTCCTTTATATAGATTTCCTTTCTTTTACTGATTTTTACCTATGCTATAAGAATCATTTCAAGGATTCTGCCTCTCTAGTTAGTTCATTAGTTGACTCCTTATTTAAAAAAAAAAAACAAAACTGAAATACCAGCCTGATGTTAAATATCTACATCATCTGCAACTAGCTTGATGAAGATCCTAGAGCTAATGTTTTTTTCTGGAAAATCCTATGGATCCCACTGTTTTATTACTCTGCTATTCTCTCTTCTGGAATACTCTCTTCATCACTCTGTGCATGACTAAATTAAAACTTATCTTTCAAGCAGATTAAGAAAAGCTAAAGATGCATAATATAAGCTCTAAATGAACCCCGAAAATTTTAAAACAAAGAGTTTTAGGTAATAAGCCAAAGGACAGAAAATGGAGTGATAAAAGATGCTTAACTAAAGAAGTGAGAGAAAAGGAAACAAAGAACAGATGAGACAAAAAAGACTACAAATATCAAGATGTCAAATTTAAACTTAGCAATATCAATGACCACATTAAGTGTATATGGTACAAACGGCCAATAGAAAGGCAGGGATTATGCCAATAAATTCAACAATTCAGTTGAAATGAACAAATTCCTTAAAAGACACAAACTCCCAGAGCTTAATCAAGAAGAAAGAGATATTTGCATAACCCTGTTAACTAAATTAAACTTATGGTTACCACTCTACTCCTAAATGGTTTCCTTGGGGGAATTCTACCAAGCATTTAAATAAGAAATACTACTAATTCTACATGAACTGTTCCAGAAAATTCAAGATGAGGGAATATTTCCCAATTCAATATCTAAAAACAGCAATACAATGATACCAAAACTAGATAAGAAAACAACAGACCAATATCCATCATGAATGTATATGCAAAAATGCTCAATATTTTAACAAACCGAATCCAAAACATACAAAAAGGTTAATACATAATAACTAAGCAAGCACAGTCTAGGAAGGCAAAAATGGTTTAACATTTGAAAACTGAAAATCTATTAATGTAATTTACCATACTGACAGACTGAAAAAGAAAAACCATATAAACATCTCAACAGCTGCAGAAAAGGCATCCAGCAAATTTACATCCATTTCTGATAAAACTCACAAAAAGCTAGGAATAGAGAGAAACTTCCTTGGACTTACAAAGAATATCTCCAAGAACACTACAGCTAATTTTTAAAAAATGTTTAACCCCTTATGATCAAAAATGAGGTAAGAATGTCTGTTCTTACCATTCATATTCAATACTATATTGGAGGTTCTAGCCAATGCAATAGAGCAAGAAAAAGTAATTAAAAAGATTTTAAAGGAAGTAGAATTGTCTATATTCACAGATGCTATAACCACCAATGTAGAAAAACCAAAAGAAGCTACAAAAACATTACTAGTATAGCTGAGTTTACAAAGGTCGCAGAACACAAGATAAGCCAATTAGATCATGTAAATGTATTTATTAATAACATATATTAGGTTAAAAGATATTTTAAAAGAATAAGCTGGGGAGCTTATGAAAATACAGATTTAAAATAAGCAAAAAATATGAAATGTTAAGGTAAACACATTCATATGCACAACAATAGAATACTTTTAGTGTTCATGCTTTAAAATGTTTTTTATAAGCATCATTTTCTCTATTTTCTTGAGGAAAATTCTTCTGGTCCTCAAATCTTACAGAGTAAATGGATTCTCAATTTTTAAAAGTGTCATATGTCAGAAATACAACTGGTGGTAATTAAAGTTGTGATATTCTATTCTGCAAAAAGAAATTTACCTGTTTTTCATGGAAGTCTATTTCCCTAGCAAAAGTCTATTTCCCTAGCTACAGACTAATATGTATGTGAACATTTAAAAGTGCTGGGATGGGGAACCTGGGTGGCTCAGTCATTAAGCATCTGCCTTCGGCTCAGGTCATGATCCTGGGGTCCTGGGATCGAGGCCCACATCAGGCTCCCTGCTCAGAAGGGAGGCCTTCTCCCTCTCTCACTCCCCTTGCTTGTGTTCCCTCTCTCTCTGTCAAATAAATAAATAAAATCTTAAAAAAACAAAAAAACAAAAAAACCTTTAAAAGTACCGGGATGACCTAGGGCAATGCTTTTAATTTCAAATTAAAATTAGAATTGTAAAGATAAATTTGCCTACATCTTATCATAAATGTGGATGTAAAGCATAAAGTAAACTCAAATATGAACTTCCACTTAAATAACTGGATTTAAAAATTTTTTTAAAATATTTTATTTATTGGGGTGCCTGGGTAGCTCAGTGGGTTAACGCCTCTGCCTTCCGCTCAGGTCATGATCCCAGGGTCCTAGGATGGAGCCCCACATCGGGCTCTCTGCTCGGCAGGGAGCCCGATGTGGGGCTCCATCCCAGGACCCTGGGATCATGACCTGAGCTCAAGGCAGAGGCATTAACCCACTGAGCCACCCAGGCACCCCGGGATTAAAATTTTTAAAGAAATACAGAAGACACACACATTATCTACAGAGATTCTCTTTAGACCAGTGGTTTCCAATTTTTGCAGTATATTTTCACCCCCGAGACCCTTAAAATCCTGATGCCCAGGCCACACTCCAGAGAAATCAAAATGAGATGAGGGGGGAATAGGCATTGGTCTTTTATACAGATCCCAGATGATTCTAATGTGCAATAAAGTTTGAAAACCACTGTCTTAAGGTAAAATTTGATAATACACCCACTGTCAAATTAGTCACTTAATGTGAAGCCCCTATAGGTTGTTTTAATTCTCTAACTGCCTGGTCTAACTGAATTACCATGGAAAACTTCTCGTAATAACCATCTGCAAAATGCCATCTTTGCATAGGGATAGAAAGAAGCTGAAGTGTTGAAGATACTAAAAATACATGATTTAAAGAAAAAAGGGAGAGGTGGTACTCAATTTCCAAACTCCTCAAAAATTTTACTCATGAAACACCAACTCACACTGATTACCCAAGAACAACCAGTTCTGACACTGAAATCAGCCCAAAGAGCAGACACACTCTGAGACTGATGCTTATTTCATAAACCACATACATTATACCTAGAACGTTTGTGATGTTTCCATCCCAGTATACCATAATCCACCCTCCTCTTCCAACTCTCACCTTAATCTCAACAGAGGATCCCGAAATTTACAGAAATCTCAAATAATGAAGGGTGTACTTCCAGACAGACATGCTGGAAAGAGTATACAGCCACCCTGGTTTACAGGACAATAAAGGTCTCTCAAAGGGTCAAGATTTAACAGATGGAAATTGGTTAACAAGAGATTATTCACAACCTCTGCTTCTTTTCCCCATGTCCCATATCCAAATCTGGAAAGATGTTTTTTGTTTTGTTTTGTTTTACTTTGATGAGGGTAGGTATGTATTAGCAGAAGTGAATGGGGGGTATTTTAGGGCTAATGTTTACACTGGAGTTTAATGCAGTTTAATGACTTGACTTACCTTATGGCACATGTAGGATCCACCTTTCTTCACCCGGTCTTTTCCAGAAGGAGGGCCTTTCTGTGGATGAAGAGGATGCATCAGTCCAGAAAGCACAGATGTTCCTCATCGACTGGCGGAGAGTTCATTTTAGTCCAACTAGTTCTTTCATATCTGCCTTTACTCTCCCCATGTTTTTCTGCCCCTGGGCCCTGAATCTGCACCCGTGCACCCTTCCAAATGCCCACCTCTCCAAATCTTACCCAGGCTATACGGTCCGCCTCAGGTTTCCACTTTGGTGAAATCTTTGAGACTGCAGCAACAATCCCCCTTCTGAACCCGGTAATAGCATTTCTCACCTAGATGACTAATAAGCTGCTTAGCAGCATCTCTGCTATCACCTCACGCTGATAAGCGAGTTTATGCAGCATAACAACTGTCTTGTTTAAGGGGACTGGCTCACCTTCTGAATTATGTTTTTGTAATCCCACTGTGCAGCACCTAATAAACCCTTTGTTGACCGAAGGATTTTGCTTTTTATCTTTAAAAAAAAATGGGGGTCAGGCTGATTGAGGTATAATTTACATACAATGAACTTTAATCTTTTTAATCATTTTTAAATGCACACATCTGATGAGTTTTGACAAATGTATAGGCATGTAACCACTACCACAATCAAGTTACGGAATACAGTTTATCCTTTTCAAAACAAGTTACATAGTGCTGCTATGAACCAAGCATGGATGTGAATATTAACCCATGTAATCGCCATAACTTCCTTTTTTTTTTCTTTAAGATTTTATTTTTAAGTAATCTCTACATCCAGCATGGGGCCTGAACTCACAGCCCCGAGATCAAGAGTCACATGCTCCACCCACTGAGCCAGCCAGGCACCCCTCTCCATACCAAGTTCTGAGGTAAGATCAGCAAGTGGCAGAATAAGGATTCACACCCAGGCAGTCTGGCTCCACTCCATTATGCTACCCGTTTAGAGACCAGGAATGTAGGAAATTGGGCAATGCTGACAAGGGGACAAGAAGCAACCGTGGCTACCACCATAACGGAAACTGAAGCCTGAAACAGGCAGCCAAGACACAAGGCTCTTTTTTCTAGGGAGGGCTTTCGATAAAAGTGCACTGCAAATGAACATCCTAAAACGTTAGTTGCCAGCATAAGGGCCTCAACATTAGATGAGTCATGCAAAGAACATCTGAGAAGTACCAATAACCTCCTACAAACCAGAACCACATATGGCAAGTTTGGGGGCTTACAAGGACTTTTTTTTTTTTTTTTGAGCTTTTCCTTTGTTAGGCAAAAAGTCAATTAATCATGCAGCTGCCTGCTTTTCTGTCTCCTGAAAATGAGACAAATTCGAACAATGCCACCTATCTTAGTTTTCTTTCTCTTGTCAACTACCTAGAGTCAAGGGCTCAGACTAAGTGGCAGAGCCACGTTTTCTCCAAGCCTGGCGAACATACTAACCTGCAAATGTCAACTACGTGGGCAGAAGTTCATGTTTTCTAAGCACTTCCAGGTCTTTAGAAAGGGTCACAGGCCAAGCCACTGGCTATTCTTCATTCCACGGCAGGGCCCCCGTATTTCCAGGGCCTTAAATGCTTAATGCTACGCTAATAAACTTTCGGCGGTGAGAAACGGGCAAACTCTAAGTGAGAAAAGCTACCTGCAGAAATAATGACGGCCAGTGCAGCCTTCTTCCCAGGCGTGTCTGGAACCTGGCAGATATTGCATTACAATCTTCTCTATTATTCTAGAGAAGTCTGGAGCTGAAAGGAACACACTGCTGTCTGTGGAGCTACCCTACATAATGGCCACTGTCTCCTACCTGAACTTTCTCACTGAGGAGGTTTTGCCGTACACTGCTTCCTTCAGGTGGCTCTCGGTGCACTGGGTTACAATGACCCAAATGACAGCTTCAACTCTGACCGGAGTATCTGATATCATGCAAGATTAAATTCTTTTGTTAGGTTACATCTAAGGACAAGAAGGAGCTGACTTGCCAATAAGAATGAGTGAGAACAAAATCAGTCCCTTTCGTCACCGTCTCCGAGGAAGTGAGCCTGCAGTCAATAAATACGACAGCCATCAAAGGGACACGGCCACTAATAAGAGTCATCCTGTATCAACACAACTACAGCAATGGATGCCGGCATCAACTGAGGTGACTGCTCAGATGATTCTTGTAAATAAAACTATTTTTGCCAGAAAACAACACAATGTAGGATTAACTATGACTGTTTGAAATGCTTACCACTTTGCAAAACCAACCAACCAAAAACGAAACAAAACCAAAAAAAACAAACCCGAAACACAGAAAAATTACTAGGAGGGTGTAGCAGTTTGAATGGTGTCCCCTCAAAATTGACACTCACTTAGGGCCTCAGAATGTGAGCTTATTTAGAAACAGGGACTTTGCAGATTGGTAATTTTCATAATTTAGGGTAAGGTCGTACAATATCATGGTGAGCCCTAAATGCAATGACTGCTGCCCTTGTCACAGGAGGAGAGGACACAAAGAGACACCTAGAGGAGGCCATGTGAAGATGGAGGCAGAGACTGGTGTGACACAGCTACCAGGCGAGGGTTCCCAGGATCTGCCAGAAGTTGGGTTCTCCCCTAGAGATGCAAGTGGGAGGATGGTCCTGTTGGAACCTTGATTTCAGCCTTGACTCCAGAATTGTGAGAATAAATGTCTGTTGTTTCAACCACCAAGTGTGTGGTGATTTGTTATAATAGCCCTAGGACACAAGTACAAAGGGGAAATGTCCTCCTTTCTATTTGTTAAAGAAAGGATGGATACATCAATATTTAAATTGTCTCTCACGATCAAGTTTGTGAATGCAGGTTAAACCACTTAGGAAGCTACCAACACTAGTGCCTGAGTGCCTCGTATTTCTGCCTCTTATCCTCACAAAAATAGAGGCTGCAGTGTCCCATCGCTTCTACTGCCTACATTAAGAATCTAAATAAAAAACCACACATGGGACTCCACCCAGAAACTGACAAGGACACAGGTGACTGTTATCTCCCAAGGGACTATTACCCAGAGCTGCTCTCCTCCCAGATACCAAAATTTTAACACCTCTAATGCTTGCAAAGAACAGCAAAAACAAACAAACAAAAATACGCAAGTTTCTAAATGTCTGCCCCAATAATCTCAAAAGGCCAAGAAGCAGCTAAGGTTATCAGGAAAAGAGATAAAGAAGCAATGCTCTGAGTGTTAGTGCAGGGAAATACACCCTCATTTAAAACACCTGGAAAGGCATAAAAGTTGTCAACAATGAAAAACCCACACAAGACACCACAGAACCCTCATCAGTAAGACTAGCTTGTTGAATGAGAAATAAGCCTGCAGGAAGGACGGTGGCCAGCCTGTTCAAAGCTGCAAGGATGTACTTCATAGGAGCATTAACAATGACATTTTGTGTAGTCAAGAGAGATACTACCCCTCCTCTCCTTTGCACACCCAACATGATGACAAGGAAAGCAACAGAAGGGAGAGAGAATCTGACTCTTCCTCAGTCAGCAAAAAGTAAAAAAGCACTGCTGTTAAACATATTGCTTGGTAACATTCCAGAATATGGAATACTACGTGGCTGTTAAAAAGAATGAGGTACATTGAAGAAAATATAAGGCACTTCTGTCAGAATATACTGCACTATCATTTTTGCTTAGACAATAATATGGAATCAAGCATTTACTCTGCTTTTCTTATACACTGTGTCCCAGTGGGGAGTTAGTTACCTGGAATGAGCGTCTGGCCCTGGGGCACAGGAGGGTGCCACAAGGGCTGCTCCTCACGGGTAATGCACTCACTCGTGTTTTCTTTCTCATTCTATTTGATGCACTGTTTGATTTACCTCGGGGCTTGCCTTGTGACCCAGGGATTATTTAGCAGTGTGCTGTTAGTTTCCAAGTGTTCAGAGACTTTCCTATTTTATTTCTATTCTTGATTTCTAGTATTCCATTGTGGTTGGAGAGCATACTATATACAACTATAACTTTTAAAAATGTACTGAGGTTTATTTAATGGCCTCAGATATGTTCTCCTTTGGTATATGTTCCATGAGTTCTCGAAGGGGTATTTTGCTGTTGTTGATTAGGTCCTGTTCACTGGTGGTATCACGGAGTTCTCTTAGATCCTTACTGATTGTCTATGTAATTATACTTTCAATTATTGATAAAGAGGTGTGAAAATTTCCAACTACAATTGTGGATTGGTCTATTTCTCCTTTGAATTCTTTGTTAAATTAGTTTTTGCTTCATATGTCTCAGCTGTATTCATTGGTGCATGCATATTTAGTATTAATATGTCCTTTTGTTGGATTAACCATTCTATCATTACAGAATGTCCTTCGCTGACTCTGGCAAATTGCTTTGCTTTGAGGTCTACTTTAATATGTGATATTAATACAGCCAAGCCTGCTTTCTTTTGATTAATGTTTGTAGATCTCTTTTCCCATTATTTTGTTTTCAATCCACTTATTTCATTATATTGAAATGAGTATATTTTGTAGACTGTCTATAGTTAGGTTTTATTTTTAATTCACATGGCCAATCTGACTTCTAATTGATATACTTAGAGCATGTGCTTTTAATGAAATCATTGGTAAGTTGGGACTTAAGTCTGTCATTTTCTTGTTTTCTGTCTATTCTCTTTGATTTTGTTTCTGTTTGCTTTTTTCTCCCTTCCTGGGGATTACCCAAACATTTTTGTTAAGAAATCCATTTTTATTTACCTATAGAGTCTGAAGTTTACACTTATATATATATGTATGTATATTCCCACAGTTTTATACAGAGATCACAGTTTTTTATGTATAGATCACAGTTTTATATGTAGATCACAGTTTATATATTCTCACCTATATCTACATTATATATAGATATATAATTTAGAAACATAATATATATAACTGTGATGATAAAACATCAGAGTCTACTGGTGTTATTTTACCAGTTCCAGCGTGGTACAGAACACTTATCTCCTTCTATATCCCTTAGGCTCCCAGGTTTATAATGTAATTGGAGGAAAGACATCCCCTAAATATATTTAGAAACAC